AAAGTATTATAATAAAAAATGGACTAATTCAATAATGATACATCATTAGACATCTGGCATAATGTCGATTGTCACCCTTTAATTAAACCAACTTTATTATGAGATGTCTCAGCCCCCAGGCTATGTTGACCCTCGTTTTCCACGCCATGTTTGCAAAATCACAAAGTCTCTGCATGGTTTGAAACAGGCTCCCTGTGCTTGGTACCTGCGTCTCTCGTCCTTTATCTTTGCCTATGGTTTTTCGCAAGAGTGTACACGACACTAGTGTCTTTGTCTCTCACACTCCTCCTGGTACTGTTATTCTCCTTGTATACGTTGACAATATTATTGTGACAGGCATGCAGCTCCTCCGCTTTTGTCCAAAATTTTATTGCTCGTATGTGCCAAGAATTTAAAACAAAGGATCTTGGCCCTGTGAACTATTTCGTAGGCCTTGAAGTCACTCACACCTCATCTACTCTCATGGTCTCTCAAAACAAGTATGCGATGGAACTTCTCCAACGGGCTGGCCTCGCCGACTATAAACCAACGCTGACCCCCTTGCCCGTTCGGCCAGTAGCAATGGAGAATGGGGGGATCAGCCGTTTCATGATCCAACTTTATTTCGAAGTCTAGTTGGGTTCTCCAGTATTTTACTACTACTCATCCGGACATACAATTTGCTGTGAATTATGTATGTTAGGGTATGCATGACCCTACAACGAATGACTTTTAGAGCTTGAAACAGATCTTGCGGTTCGTTAAAAGAACTATTGATAGAGGTCTTGTGTTCTAGTCTGGTGATGTTCAGTTACGGGCCTACTCGGATTCAGATTTGGCTAATGGCATGACAGATGAGCGTTTGGTTAGTAGGTACTTGGTCCATCTAGGACCGAATCTAATATCTTAGAGTATAGAGAAACAGACTTGGGTGTCTAAGTCTTCTACCGAAGCTGAATATCGTGCACTATCTGCTACAAAATTTGAGGTTATGTGGTTCACTTATGTTCTATCCGACTTATGCATCCCCCTGGTGCAACGTCAACTCTTTTGCGATAATCAGTCTGTTATATGTCTCACTAAGAACCCGTATTTCACAAGCATATGAAACATGTTGGAATAGACTGTCACTTCGTTCGAGAACAAGTCCTTGCTGGGACAATGAGCGTCTCATGTTTTTTTTAAGATCAATTGGCTGATATGTTAACCAAGGCACTACTTGCACCACGCTTTCATGCTCTTGTGTCCAATTAAGCTTTCACTCGTGGCTCGAAGTTCAACTTGAAGGGGATGTTAGACAATTATGTTAAGTTATCCTAATTACAGTAGATGACTTCTATATTTGGTTCCTAATTATGTTAGTAATCAAAAAAATTTTGATTAGGATAACTTGATGACTTGATTAATCAAAAAATTCTAGATGACTTGATTAATTTTTTTAAAAAGAGATCAAAAGCAGAATTCATGAATTTTACTGGGATCAAAAAATGTATTTTACTTTTTTAAAAAATAAAGTATAAATTACGAATCATATGGTTTATGAAAGAGTAATGCTGGAGTTACTCAAATAATAAAAGATATTTCATTTTAAAATTCACAAAAGGCAAGTTTGTGAAGTTTGTGAACTATGGCCCTGTTTGGCATCAGCGTCAGATATTAGCATTAGCGTTTTGAAAAAGCTATCCGACGATAGCCTTTAGCGTTAGCGTTTTTAGAATTAATATGCACCGTCAAAATTTTATCCAAAACGCTAACGCTAATCGAAAACGCTGTTACCAAACAAAGCCTATATGTTTGTGACTCTAGCATTTTCCTTCATGAAATTTGAATCCAACCAATATTCAAAAGGAAATTAATTCGACAATTACTGCTACGTTGTCTTTTTTTTAATTAATGTGTAGTAATTTTCTGTTTTGGAATAATAAATGAAATTTAATTAGTGCTTTAATTCTTTTTCTTTTTAACGGAGAACTATGGAGTAATAGATATTAGATGCATTTGTACGTGTAGAAGTATAAAACCTTAAGGTCACTAGTTAAGTTTTTCACCATTAAAAATTTACGAGCAAGAAAAATTGATAGTATACACTAAAATTATATATAGGTTTATAGATAATTATTTATCGAAAAATCTAATATTATGAAGGTTTATTTGGGGTTAGCACTCTGTCTCATGCTTTTGGGTTTTGGCACTAGTGGTAATGATAGTAATTTTTTTGTTTTTGAATACTATTGACTATTAGAATATATGCTCCCTAGTAATATTTGTAATGAAGTACATAGAATCAACACTCATGTTAGGGTTTGAAGAAGTGAATATATGATCTCATATTTTGAGTCATGCTATGTACATCGGACCTCCCCTCCCCTCCCTTACCCCGTAATGGGTGGGAGTGATCTTTTGAGTAATGTAATTATTGTTCAGAGTCATTTCGTTCGACCATAAAATCATCTACGTGTGGTTCTCATAAGAATGACTCTTCACATGAGAAATAAGAATGATACATTTTTCGTCCATCGTAATGCACATTTACCTTGTCAAATTGCATTTTTTAGTAGCCGCAAATGTTGACTTATTTACTGAACTACCATTGCATTTTTCTAGTTTTTTTGAATTTTTCAAGTCCTTAGATCTTATACCTAACACAGAAGATGCATCCTCGTTTCTCTTATTATAATATCATTCTCATTTAAGCCAAAAAACTATTTCATGTCAGGTGACTTTTATTTTTAGTGTTTTTAGTTTTTAAAATCATCCTTACAATTTTTTTATTATTTTGAAAATGGTCCTTGAACATAATTAGCAAATCTAGTTAGTTGAGGTAGCACATTTATTTTAAATTCAACACCTTAGTGTTGCATAACATGCATTATATTTCTAAATGCTCTAGCAAAATGCGTATGCCCTTAATTGTGTCTACATTCATATTACATCTTCAATTCTTAAATTTCTTGCAAATTTTATATTTCCTTTGTTCGAAATTATGTTGTCTTTTTACTATTCACATAAACAAACTTCATTCACTTTTTTTTTCTCTATTTTCATTACTCACTTAATAAAATAATATTTTCATGTCACCTCTAGTTTGGTAGAACTATAAATGTGGTTTATATATATATATATATGTGTGTGTGTGTGTGTGTGTGTGTGTGTGTGTATGTATGTATGTGTGTGTGTATTCTTTTCTTAATTTTACCCCAATTTTCAAATATTTTTTTTGAAAATAACATTAGTCAAATGCCGTAAACTAAAATACATGATTTAAATTGAGACAGAGGGAGTATAATAAAATTTAGAAATTGAGGATGTAATTCGATGAAAAACACAATTTAGGGCATTAGAAGACTTAATTACGTTCAAGCACCATTTATAAAATAAAAAAACATGTAAGAATGATTTAAACAAAAAATATTTACAAGGACTAGAATAAAAAAAAATTACATAATTTATAAGAACTAAAAACATATTTAATTCTTTTCAGATGATACAATCCTGGAGTCATCTCCCCCTCCATCTCAAACTTGTACCGGCCCAGCTCAGGTGAAGGTTCCCATGGAGGGATGTGATAATACAGCTTGCGAGAATTGGTGCACAGTACTGAATCACTGTTACGCCTGGGAATGCACTGATATAAATGAATGTTGTTGTAGTTGCCAGCAAATTGGCTCTCAAACATTTTTATCAAAGTTTTCTTAATATCATGCCACATATGCATCAAACTGAAGATCTTAACTATTATCATGATGAAATAAATGCTCGTTTGAAATATCTTGTAATATCCCAAAAGAACTTTAATACGGAGTATTAGAGTGTCATACATGATTCGTTAAATCTATAAAGTCATTCTTCACATTCTTCCTACACTGAAATTTTTACTAACAATTACATATAACCCTTATTTTGAAGTTGCACTCCGATATTTACATCTATTTTGAGTAATTTCTTTTCTATATATATGTTGTCTTCGAGTTCTAAAGAATGCTTTTATGTTTTTTCAGCCAATTATTCAATAAGGCAAATTATTATGTAGAATTTACCTAAATAACACTAAAATATAATGACTTTCCCTAATAGCATCACATGTGTTTTTTTCTCAATGTAGCACTTTTAGCCATTATTCATTAGTCATTATTCAAGTAAATGTTCGCCATCATTGGACATTATGAACATTATTAAATGTTATTTAGGGAATAAAATAGTTTAAGTGCTATTTAGGGAAATGACTTAAGTTTTAGTGTTATTTAGTGCAAATATTTCAATTATTATATACACCTAAGATTCATGGGAAACATTTATATATGCTTAATAAGCATTTTCAAGTGTTAAAATAAGTATTTTTAAAATTAAAAATCGATGTGAGAAGATTCATGCGGACCTTAGATGCACAATAGAATCACTCTTCAATAAGATAACACATGAGTAATCTAGAATGCATGTGAAATTTCCATCTGTCTCTCAAACATACCTGAAGCTATCAATTTACACGCAAAACTCGAATGGACATGCAGGTTGATGAAACAACGTAACACAATATTTCGTGTAACATTCGAATGTTTATGGCAGTAAATAATGCAACAATTAGTTATGTTGCTCTTAATTATAATATTGATCGGTAGCATTTTTCTACTTTGGGAAAATTAATGAAATTTTAACAGTGCTTTACTTCTTTTTTCATTTTAACGCAGTAGTACGGAGCAGTTTGTTCCAACAAAGTGCATAATTAGCAATTGTTTTCTTTCTTTAATTGACTTCATTTAGCTGAAGCCGAATAGCAAATCCTTTGATGGCGCCACATCAAACTTGGAACCTTTGGCCATCCCATTTTCTAAGCACAGTACGAGCCCCCATAAGTCATAACATATGAATGATTATTAGCTCTTCAGAAAACATCGAAGAGAACAAATTCTCACTTCAACCAAACAAGCCATAAGAGTTTGTTTTAAAATGTATGGTATTCTGATTAGTTTGAGACAGTAAGTCTTGAGAGATTAGACAAGAAAAGAATTGTTTAGATGCCCTTTAACCTTGAATACCATTTAATAAAGCAGTTTAATTACTTCTCTATTCCAATCCATACAATTCACTCTATTTCAAGTGTGGACAATATTAACACTATGTTTGGTTCAAGGAATTCAGATGGAAAAGAAAAGAAAATGATTTTCTCTCAATTTCCTCACCAAAATGGGAGGAATTTTGTTTATCCTCCTCTAAGTACATTTTGCATTCTCATTTTCTTTTTCTTCCACTTTTCTTTTCTTTTCCTCTCTAACCAAACAAGAAAATTTCTTTTCCATCTCATTTTCTTTTTTTTTCTTTTCAAAATCTTTGAACCAAACACAGTGTAAATGTTTGATCCAACTCTGAAAACGAACCTTCTCACCTTATACACCTAAATCCTGGATTCATTCACATCACTTTTTACATTAGAACTCATTTGATTTTGGGACGAAGGGAATACTTGAGATCTCTGAAAAACATTGATATTCTTTCAGCCTTTTCAACCGAAAGGTCGGTGTTGTCCAGAATGCATTGCTTTGATGCTTTGGCTATTGCTTCAATGGAACCGATGGCTTGGTAAAGCTGGAAAGGAAAGGAATGAAAACAGTCAGTTCTCTTATACAGCAAGTTAAGACAGTGTATTGTTGCTACAGTGTGTGATATAATAGCATTACGGTTGTCAAATAGAGTTCGGATTAAGAGTAGTATTATGCTTGACTTCTAATTAAAGCATCCTAAATATGTGTGCTCTTTCACACCAATGAACAGTTACTTTCCAGTTGCATTGTTTTTCATCTAGTCTAGGCTTAATTATGACTTAGATACTCTATCCTTTCCATTTTCCTCACTATTTTCTTTCCCAATAATTTTCCGAGTTGCAAGAGGAAAAAAATGCAATGGATGTTTATATAGAAAGACCAAGCACTAAACTGTGAGAACAAATCTGACTCGATTTCTGATGAAAGCTTCGAACAAGAGTCAATGAATATGGGTTCTTACTGCATTTGCATCATGCTTGTCAATGCCAGGAATCGATGTGACCACTTTGAGATAGGCATCCATTGCTTGAACTGACTTTTCCTTCTAAGAGTGTGACATAATAACATCTTATTAAATCACTTAAAACAAAGTGTTCACTATGTACAATCAAAGAAAAAGATCAAGACATAACCTCAGCTTTCATTTTTTCCACAGCATTCCGCTTTTTACACACTGCAAGTAGCAACATTAGGTTAAAACTTAAAATACACAAAGATTCCATTGATGACCAAAGTTTGAGCATTCTTACCCCCACGAGCATGTGCAATCTTCACAATTTTTTCCAACCCCATCTCTAAATTACTCACTGGAACAAAAGTTGGCTTTCCAAGTTCCATATTGTACCTTAAAAGAATAAGCATTTATTAGCCATTCAATAGCAAAACATTCATGATGCAGTGACACAAAAAAACATAAAGGACTCACTTGAAGTAAGAGCAGTTGAAAGAATCGTTTTGTTCTCTAGTTGGAAGGGTCACAACCACATAGAGGTTTGCAAATTGCCCCTTTAGCTTCTTGACTCTAATAACAATTAGACAACATTAGCCAAAGTCACAGGCATTCACCTGAAAAGTAAAAGAAAAATTTACCTGCAAAATAATGATGCTGTTTTTGCACTGTCCCAATTAGTCACAAAAATGAATGCAACAGACACACCCCCACAGTTAATGATTACATCCTGTTATAGCAGCCATAAATTAGTAGCAGGTGAAAGAAGATTGTCAATATAAGCATGGGATGAAATGGTCTATTCACCGGAGCTATTGGGACGATATTCAGACGAAAAGAGTTTTCCTGTAAGAAGCTGGAAACAAAATTAAGAAACGATGGGTGCTGCCCATCTCTCCATGTTTTACTCATCATAAACACCCCATTGAAACCTGCACAAGTAACTCATACATCGTACATCCTCATATCATGAATTGAAGAGATAATATAACAAAACTATACCACTCAATCACTCATGAGTTGTGACTCTAAAGTAACCCGAGCTATAAATGATCGGTAAAATTTCATTTAAATTTTTCCAAATAGGTGAGCTATGTATGATGCAACAGATTTCGCTCGTAGAAATAACGACAACACCTAATCCTTTAAGTGAGAAACGACCAGCTACTATGAGACAAATACTGATATCACAGGTTCAAAGTGCTAGCAGAAACCTAAATCACATATGCAAAAAAGCTAATCATCACATAAGAATGAGAAAACAAAAACAGATCTGTTACCCAAACTGCATGACTGTGCACGGAGATAAATATGACTTGTGCTCCTTAGGAATATAGTGCCTTACGCAAGTTCACTACTAGGTAAAATATAAAACAAGTTTCTGGAAAAAAAGAAAAGCAACTGAAATAAAAATGGCGAAACTCTAAAAAATGCGTTAGTTTCATGACACATCACAACTAAAGATTCTGAAATTCATCAAACTTGTGTGGTTAGGACTTAGGATAGAGAAAAGAAAATGCTCCAACATACTCATGCCATTAGGCCTAAAAATCAACGAATGGAAATTTGAAATACAGCTGCCCAATATTTTCAGCAACTCCCAACCATCGTCAAGGAAGTGTGCACTGAGTGAAATTAAACCACACAACCAGTACCAGAAAATAGCAATTTCTTCTTAAGTTTCTGTGATATCTCTTACTCTTCGGATGCTTTTCTATAAATAAGAAAAATGCTTCGCATCAGGATTCAAGTAGGAAATCAGCCCCTAAACACCTTCATATCCAGCAAATCGAAAAGATGAATCAAGCAAATAACAAAATGTCTCGGCAGGATAGGCCATCATTACACCTATAATGTTCCCGGCGAAACAATACTTGTGATTTTTTATAGCTGTTTTTAAGACTTACCCGCCCCAGTCGGCTTATATGAATCCGTGTGAAAGGTCGAGGGCTTCCCGAACCTACTGCCGATCTCCATAGCCTCTCCTCTGCTCGAATCGACATCAACAGGGAATGCTATTGAGCCCAGCTTCACTTTTGGATCCATGAACGCTAACCTTAACGGCAGAAGATGATAAAGGATTCTAGGAGAGATGATTTATTCTGGAGGAATCCTGCATTGTGAAAGAAGACAGAGTAATGATAGGGGTACACCACACTCTTTTCTTACACATATTTTTATTTAATTTTTATTTATTTATTTTTTTGAACTTTTTTACCCTTTTTAGTGGACAAGGAGGGGGTGGGGATATTTGGGGCAGCATTTTTCAAGAAGATACTTATGAGAGAAGGAGTTAGAGCATCTCCCTCGGGTATCTCGGATGTTCAAAAGATGTTTTAAAATGGATTTTGAGCACCTTCATTGTGAAAAAAGATAGTACTTATGAGTTATGATGCAAGATGTCATGTTAGATGAAGAGAGGATTAAATATTCATTGCATTGGATGCATTTAAATATGGGACTTATTAATTTTAATGTTGATTATATCTATTTTAAATATTCAATTTATAATATTTGTTTTCAAAATATTGAAATATTTATTTAATTAAAATATTTAATTTCAAAATATTTAAATATTTTATTTAGTTAAACTATTGTGGAATTTTCTTCCCTAACTTTATTTTTCTAAATATAAACTCATATAATTTCTAAATATTTAATTTTATATTTTTACGGAGGAGTTCTATAGCCAGTGGTTTTCAGTGGCTTCCGAATTCACTGAACAAATCGGGACACCTATAGTGCTCCGTTCGTAAAATTGATAGTTCCTACCCCCGTACCCACGACAAACACCTCCACCAAGTCCCGACCCCAACCACGTCAATTGCAAGGTGCGAATTTAATAGACTTTGGAGTAAAAAAATTTTACTCCAAAGTCAACTAAACTTGAACCCTGCAATAGACGTAGGTAAGGGTTACAAACTATCAATTTTACGAATGTAGCATCGTAGGTGTCCCAATTTGTTCAGTGGCTTTGAAAGCCACTAAAAACTAGTGACTATAGAACCCCACCGATATTTTTTATGTTATTTTTATTAAAAATAAATAATAAAATAAAATAAATTGGGACACATAAATCTATATATATATATACACACAGACACACACACAATTGAAGTAGTTAGAATAAGACTATGGTCAAGTGCATTTGGAGTGCTTTAAATCGGACATGCAATGAGATACTTTTTACATTACTCAATACCTTTATATCTCATTCCAATTAAATGAATAGATTGTACAAATCTTGAATGTTCTTTCACATTAATTCAAGTAGTTAGAGTAAAAAGTTTTCTAACTATTTACAGAACCAAAATACTACAACTCATTCACAACATCCGCCATCATCATATTGAAAGCTTATCCGTGTAAGACAAGTGCGTAAAACATGTCCTAAAAATCTACCATGGAAATGTGGAACGCCCTTAACCAAATTGATAATAGTCGCACAACATAAATGCTGAAATTATGAGCTATACATGTCTAATTTGTTCCAGCTTGGGCAAAGGGAGATGATTTAATTAAAGTTGTCTTCCATAATGAACATGTATGTTTACTATGTAATGCAGTTGTCAATATTCACCTACTTACCAATAACATTCCTAATACTTTTCATTTTTGACATGGGACAAGGATACATGCTCATTTAAAAAAACCCGAAAAGAAGCGTTTCGAAAACCAAATCGTTGAACATGGCATCCTTGGAATTTAAAAAGTTTTTGTTCATGATATTTACTTTTCATGCAAGATAACCTCACATTCTTATTTGTTGGTTTTTTACGCAAAGCCCGAAGTGAAAACTCTGAGTGAAGATGATTTTCTGAATTTAAAATCTATTCCAAGCATTCAAGCTCAGTTTTATTTGAATGATCAACTTTTAATCAGTGTAAATTCTTTCTAGACGATATTACCAAATAAGCCAAGAAAATTTTAAATTGATTGAGAATAAAAGCAAACATTATAGTTGTTCCCGCTTGCTGCAGATGTTACTGGAAAATTGTTGGGCGCTTAAAAGTTTAAACCCATATTAAAAGAGGTGGAAAAGAGATACTCATGCAGATAACACTTGAGAGTTATGAGTATGAGAACTTACTGAAAAATGACACATAATTTCAAATGATTGCTGAAATAATGAGGAAATATAATTAAAAATTCAGAGGCAATCATTTGGTTTACACCTCATGGGGAGACTATGTGGAGAGGTTTTTCGGTTTTTTGACCCAAAATGTTCCATGACCCTTTATAGTGCTCATGAGATGTTGATGCCCTAAGCGATACATGGGTAAGATATTTGTGAAGAATTGTAATTTTCCTTGAACAATAAAGTGGGAGTACATGTGTTTATATACACAAGCTATTCCTAATCCTAATCATGGTAGGATTCTACAATAGGAAACAATATACATACAATAAATATAGAATATTTATTTAACATAAATATAGAATATATTTAACATGCTCCCAGCTACGTCGGCGTCGATGGTGGGCGAATCCCGAGGCTTGTCCGGAAATCCTGAAATAATATGGACGGGAGGCCCTTTGTGAATATATCTGCGTACTGTGAGGAGGATGGCACATGAAGAACTCAAATCTGGCCAAGGGCCACCTTGTCACGAACAAAGTGAATGTCTACCTCAATGTGTTTGGTGCGCTGATGCTGAACTGGATTGGTGGAGAGATAAACAATGCTAACATTATCACAGAAGATGAGTGTGGCGTGGCGTAGGGGTTGCTGTACCTCTAGTAGAAGATTTCAGATCCAGCTGGTCTCGGCAACGGCATTGGCGACGGCTCGGTATTCAGCTTCAGCACTAGATCGGGAAATGGTGGCCTGACGCTTGGAGGACCAAGAGATGAGATTGTCCCCAAGGAAAATACAGTAGCCTAATGTGGATCGTCTAGTGTCGAGGCACCCAGCCCAATCAGCATCGGAGTAGGCCTGGAGAGAATCTGTGCTAGACGGAGAAAGAGTCATGCCGTAGGTGGAGGTGCCACGGAGATAGCGTAGGACCCGCTTCATAGCTGTGACGTGGACATCTCGAGGGGCGTGAAGATGGAGACAAAGCTGCTGAACAGAGTAGGAGATGTCTGGCCTAGTGAATGTGAGATACTAGAGGGCTCCAACAATAGAGCGATAGAGTGCAGGGTCGGCTACCAGGGAACCCGAAGTGCCAGATAATTTTGCCTTCGTATCGACAGGAGTGGAGATGGGACGACACATAATCATACCGGCATGCTCAAGGATGTCGTGAGTGAACTATGTCTGATGTAGAAAGAGACCATGCGCTGTCCGATGAACATTGATGCCCAAGAAAAAATGAAGGTCACCCATGTCCGTCATAGCAAATTCCCCTTTAAGGTGCTCAGTCAAGCGCTGAAGAAGAGAGTCGGAGGAAGCTGTGAGGACGATGTCATCAAAATAGAGGAGAAGGTAGGCAGTGTCCGTCCCATGAGAGTAGATAAAGAGAGAGGTGTCCGACTTACACCCTCGAAACCCCAGTGTGTAGATGAATCCGGAAAATCGTTGGTACCAAGACCGAGGCGCCTGTTTCAAGCCATAGAGAGCCTTCTTGAGCCTGCATACATAATTGGGACTGTGGGGGTCCTGGAATCCGGATGGCTGTGAGGCGTAGACAACCTCTTGCAGATGGCCATGAAGAAAGGCATTTTTGACGTCCAACTGATGAATCGGCCATCCTCGAGAGAGAGCAAGGCTGAGAATGATACGTATAGTAGCTGGCTTGATCACAGGGCTGAATGTCTCATCATAGTCAACTCCGAATCTCTGGTTGAAGCCCCGAAAAACCCATCGAGCTTTGTACCTGGTAAACTCACCTGTAGGGCCAAGTTTGTGCCGAAAAAGCCATTTTCCGGTTATGATATTTTGGTGAAGGGAGGGGGGTACTAATTCCCATGTGTCATTCTTGATCAATGCATTAAATTCCTCACACATAGCATTGTGCCAATTGGGATCTTTGAGAGCACTACGGTAGGTGAGCGGGAGAGGGGAGATGGGAACAGTGATGTTGTGGTTAAGGATATGTTTGGGGCAGGTTATGCCAGTTTTGGAACGCGTGACCATAGGGTGCTGATTTGTGGTAAGTGAAGGGGGGTAGGGGGTG